ATTAATTTCATGGCAGTATCTGATGGTAAAACAATGTTTTTAAAATCAGTTGATTGCTCGGGGAAAATTAAGGATAAAATTTTCATTTTCAGGTTGTTTGTTTGGACTTCTATAATCTGTTTGAGTGTGTTTGTTTGTTTGCTCGAGAATGACTAATGATGAAAATTTCATTTTCAGGTTGCTGAAGGAAGTTATTCAAGAAGTAGGAGAGACGAATGTGGTTCAAGTAATCACAGATAATGCTGCAAATTGTAAGGGAGCAGGGCAACTGATTGAGCAGAAATTCTCATCTATTACCTGGACACCGTGTGTTGTTCACACATTGAATTTGGCTGTGAAAAATATTTGTGCTGCAAAGAATGTGGAGAACAATCAAATAACGTATGAGGAATGCAGATGTATTTCTGATATTATAGGTGATGTTGCTGCAATAAAGCATTTCATTATGAATCATTCTATGAGATTGGCCATCTTTAATGAGTTCGTGAGTTTAAAGTTGCTTTCTATTGCTAATACTCGTTTTGCTTCAATGATTGTGATGTTAAAGAGGTTCAAGTTAATAAAGAGCGGTCTCCAAAATATGGTGATAAGTGAAAATGGAATATTTATAGAGATGATAATCTTAGGAGGGCCAGACCTGTTAAGGAAAAATTATTGGATGATTGTTTTTGGGATTCAGTTGATTACAAACTTGCCTTCACTGCTCTTATTTATGATATGATCAGAGCTTGTGACACTGATAGAGCTTGTCTTCACTTGATATATGATATGTGGGATTCAATGATTGTGAAAGTGAAGAAAGCTATATTCCATAAGAGGGGAAGAGGATGGAAGAGAGCTCCCCTTTTTATGATGTGGTGCATTGCATTCTTGTGGATTGTTGGACAAAAAATTCAACTCCACTACATTGTTTGGCACATGCTTTGAATCCCAAGTAAGTTTTTAAATATGATTCAGTTTAAAATTAATATTCCTCTTTATATAATTTGACAATTTGTTGATTTTTTCTTGCTTCTCTTTTAGATACTATAGTCAACAATGGATTTAGGAAGATTCTAGTCGAGTTCCTCCACACATGGATTTAGAGCTTACTCAAGAGCGACAAAAATGTTTAAGGAGATTCTTTCCTAACATGGAGGACCGAAGTCGGATTAGTTTGGAGTATGCTGATTTTATTAGCAATAGTGGAACCTTTGGCGATTTTGATGCCATTAATACTCAATACACTATGGATCCGAAATCTTGGTGGCTACTTTATGGTACTTTTACACTGATACTCCAAAAAATAGCATTGAGACTTGTGCAACAACCCTTCTCTTCATCATGTGCTGAACGCAATTGGAGTACTTATTCTTTTATGCATTCTATCAAGAGGAATAAAATCACTCCAAAACATGCTAAAGACTTGGTTTATGTGCATAGCAATCTTCGACTCTTATCAAGAAAGACTCCTAGTTATGCACAAGGAGCAAATCAAATGTGGGATATTGCAGGAGATACATTCGATTTACTTGATGATGTTGGAGATCTTCAATTTGCTAGTCTTTCACTTGATGAGCCAGAGATAGAGGCCTGATTAATCAAGATGGAGATGAAAATAATTGAACTTGTGAGTAGTCTACACTCTACACTCTTGGGATGTTCTATTATTTTTGCTTAATATTTATGTTATGAAATTTGAATATTTGATTAGTTGTATGACTTATTATGAGTTGCTATATGTATTAAATGTAAACTATATTATATATTGAAAATATTAGTTAATATCAAAACGTGTCCCAACGTGTCGAAATTTAGCATTTTTTAGAATTAACGTGTCAGAGTGTCGTGTGGTCTCTCGTGTCGGTGTCGGTGCATCATAGCTGTAACTACTCTACCAGCTCTCGCCTTTTTTGGGGCGAGTCCCAGTGAGAGATATATCCTAATTTGGGAGAGAGTGATCTAGCCTAATTCGAGGGAGTCCAAGGGTCTTATCTAATTTGGGCGAGAGTGATCTCGTTTTATTTAGGCGAGATTAAGTGTAATAAATCTGTAAATTAGTTCCAAAATATTATGTTTTTGTAACTTTTTATTTGAGATAAGATATTCTTAATTACTACCAAATGTTCTTACTATCAATCTAATATAACTATGTACTACGATAGTACATCAAAAACTATTTTTTTTTCTTTCTTCATATACTTTTCAGAAATTATTTTCCGAAAAGTGAAATTCAACGGCTAAAAAATGATAATATATTTTTAATAAGAACATTTGATAATAAGAATATCCTAACTCTTTTTATTTAAATAATAATATTTTAAATTTTTTTTCCATAGAATCAGTCTCAACTTTATTCTTTTAGGTTTTAGCCCAAAGACCTGACGCAATGCAAGAAAGATAATTAACTTTTTAAAATTTATTACAAATTTAATAAATTTTTCACACGATTTTTAGGACCCTATAAAGAAACATTTTATTATAAAAAGTCACGTTCATAGCGATAAATGAACAAAATAAATTTCAATTTGTTATAACTTAGTTAAATTGGGCCAAGACATATTTCTTTCACTAAGCGTGAGGCCCAAAAATGCTTTTTTACTTATCTTTTTTGGTGGATTTAACCAACCTGATTGGATGTCGAACAGTTTGAGTCTAAAATTATTATTTCTACCAGTCTGTCTAATTTTATGGACAATTTTTCTTGCATATTTTTTTTTTTAAATTATCTGTTATTTTGAAAAATCTTTCTTTAAACTTTGGCTGATTCTTCCTGTAACTTGTTTCTAAAAGCCATTAACTTAGCTTTCCACTGAAGATGAGGAATCAGGTTCAAATTCATCTTTCCGTATTCAACATATATGTAATTTTTGTTTTTGTTTTATCAATGAATCATATCTTTATCATATCAATAAAAAAATAAGGATTTAATTTTGATTCTTTGTCTACGTAAAACACTTTTTTTTTTTTTGTAATATACTCTTTTTTTTTTTGGTAAGCTACGTAAAACACTTATTATCCAAGCATATAATGGCAAATTGTTAGATAAATTTGACTATTTTAACTAATAATAGAAAGTCTAACTCTTTTAAATATATGTCAATATATTAGTAAATGTTAATAGAAAAAATTTACAGTAACATTGAATTGAATTTAAATATCGATTTTAATTATTTAAGAATTTCTCTAATCATAACATAACAGATTATTATATAGGTTACGCAAAAATATTACAATAAAAATGAATTAATAAATCTTATACTTTTTGAAATATAAATACATTAATGTTATGAAATAAAACATATTAAAATATAAAAAAAATAAGGTTTTGGTAGAAAATTTATTTAGGAAGAGAAAATATTAAATAAAAATAAAGTTTACCCAACAATGATTGTTTGAATAGATGTAGATCGTGACCCTAAACAAACTTCACTTGCAAAATGTCAAGAGTTCAAATTCAAATCGGCATTTTGATAAAAGATTTACTTAACCAGTATCTCTCATTTGGGAATGGATAAATTCATGAGTTATTTGATATGATGATAACATGTGAGAGAATTGTAATTATTTATGGTTAAGTCAATGATGATGAGAGATAATAAAGAAAAAATATTAGAATAAAGAATGATAAAATCATCACCGTTGATTTGAATACGAATGATTAGGATTCTTTCATATTACATGGTCTCTGATTTTAAGGAATTAGTCTCATAGTTATGCATGTGAGATTATTCAATCAGATTACAAAAATTAAAAGTAAAGTTTTATTTAATATTTCTGATTTTTAATACACGATACTTAAAGTAAAATTATTACTTATCTTTTTTTTCATTACCACCAGATATGTGGATCAACTGGCACATGATTGTTCCAACTTACCAGTAGTATTGAGTTTGAGTTCTAAATACACAAAAGTGTAAAAACTTGATAAGAAGACCTTCACCACCACTGTGATCCTACCCGAATCAATTGATTACCAGTGGAGAAATCTCAAAAAAAAATACAATGAATAATTTGTTTAAGAATAGAGAAATCTCATATAAATTTAAAATATTAAATTTGTTTGCAATAGTATAACAAAAGATTAACATATTTTTAAATATTTTATTATTATAATTAATTATTAATTTAATCAATACTTTATTAGTCTAGTACATATAATTTGAATGCTCAAAACTTATTTAAAAATCTCTAATAAGGAGGGGTTGTACGAGGAGATATTAGAATTTAGAAGTTATAATAATAATAATAATAATAAAATTAGAGGACCTGCAACTTGCAAGCTAATAGAGATTCAAAATTTTAAAGATCTTGTCCAATGATGAATGATGATATTATTAGGTTGCATTGGATTGGACTTTTAGTAAACCCACGGGTGAAACTGGGCCGGGCCGGCCTACAAGGGCCTACGACTCGGTCTATGTCAGGCCAGATCTGACCTAGTATATTTCGTAAAATAGGTTGAACTTGGGTCTTGAAAAAGCTTGTTTAATAAAAAGGCCGTAGGCCCACTTGCACAAGGTCTGACCTATAAGCCTACAGGCCGGCCTATATTGTACTATTTATTTTAAATGAAATAAAAAAAGTAAGAATGCCTTGAAGAAAAAACAAAAGATATAAATTTAATCAATTGTAATTATTTATAACTTAATTATATTCAATTATATTTTAATAGAAATCTAACTTTATTTCTTATATAGGAGGAACCAACATCTCATCATGTTAAACTAGTGAATTACTCGTGCCGATGCACGGGAAAAAAAATTGGTTTGTTTGGCATGTGGGTCGGCCCTCCGGGCCGAACTCATTTCGTCAGTATTTCAAAAGTCCCAAACAGTCATTTTTTTTAAATAACAAAACAGTCATTCATTGTTACATTAAAAATAGGAAAGAAAATAGGATAATAAAGGTCATATCTTTGAAGATAGATAAGGAAAAGAGACGCGAATAAACAGTCATTTTTTTTGTCTTTACCTGTACCATACAACGAAGTTATATCTTTGAAGAAAGAACCCAATATACTATAGCAGTCTTTGAAATACTTCCTTGTAAACTATATTAAGGGTACTATTCGTAACGCAGCCATTTTCATCAAGTATCAATATCTTCAATCCATGCATACTCTTTGCTCTAGACAGTGCCACATATAATTGCCCATGAGTGAAGACAGGCTTAGGGAGATAAATTGCAACATGTGAAAGTGATTGTCCTTGACTCTTGTTGATAGTCATGGCAAACGATACAATCAGGGGGAATTGTCTTCTTTGGAAATTTACAGGAAATGTATGACTCGATGGGCTCATCGTCATTCTAGGGATTAACACAGTTTCCCCTATATTGCTTCCTGTAAGTACAATTGCCTCAACAACATGATTCCCTAATTTTGTAATAAGCAATCTCGTGCCATTGCATAAACCTCTCGACTGATCAATATTTCTTAATAGCATTACTGGAACTTTAACTTTCAAGATTAATTTATTATCAGGAATCCCTGAGCATGATAATGTATTTAAGATCTCAGGGGTGATTTCATCATCCTCAACAGAGGAAGTCCCACCTTGCTTAAGAATTTTATCCGAACTCAAAAAAGTCCTTTCTTCACCAGGAATCATAGACATTAGGTGCTCGTTTAGCATAGCAACATCAGACAATTTAGGAGTTAGAATAGCACGTTCTTTAAAGAAGGTCTGATCCAAAATATTATCCAAGAGATTCGGATAAACAAAATTAACCATATCCGACAGCGGATCTTCCGATTCTCTAATCAACAATTCATCTGGAATTGTTATAATAGATTCTCCATCAACATCATCTCCAAGATTACCATCCCCAACTTTAAGTAGCCACTCAGAAAATTCTTTTATTTCCTCTAAATTGTGAGCGCTACTTCCAGAATTAAGACGCATGTTCTTGGTCAAAGTTAATAAATGACAATGGGACCATAGATGAGAAGAATTGATGGTTTCATGAACTATATCTTGTCTGCTGCCATGAGGAATGACAGGTAATATTTGCCGAAAGTCACCTCCTAGAACAACAACTTTTCCACCAAATAGCATATCAACACAGCTTGTATCAGAAATTCTAAGAACATCTCTCAGTGTCCTATCCAGAGCCTCAAAGCAAAGTCTATGTACCATTGGAGCTTCATCCCAAATGATTAACTTTGTTTTTGACAGCAACTCAGCTATAGTAGATTTCGGCCTTATATTACACGTTGAATCTTCATTGATTTGAATAGGAATACGAAATCTAGAATGCGTTGTTCGTCCTCCAGGAAGCAGAAGGGAAGCAATTCCGCTAGAAGCAACATTAAGTACGATTCCAGCTTTTGATCTAATAGATGCTGAAAGAGTATTCCAAATAAATATTTTTCCTGTACCACCGAACCCGTATAGGAAAAATAACCCTCCATTACCTGCCGTAACTGCTGAAACAATTTTATCATAAACAGCTTTCTGCTCATCAGTGAGGGAATTAATTAGTCTTTTATGCTCCTCTTCCAAAGCAAATCTGTCATACATTAATTCATCCAACACTAATCGATTTTGCATATCAAGCAAAGTTTCTCTATTGATGCGTGGCATTGACGGATAATCAGAGAGGCATTTCCCATTGCTCTGCAGTACCTTATCAATTTCTTCAAGAGTTATGTTTTTTATAGACTCTTCTGTAAGAATTGCATCTGACAAAGCATAAAATTCAAAGGAAAAAAATTAAAAAATTAACAAAGATAAAGTAATCAAAGAAAGAAAAGATAGCGAAATAAGTACTAAAGCATCATTTGCTGAATGCGGGCAAAAAAAAAACAAAATAAGCACTAAAGCAACATTTGCTGAATACGGGCAAAAAAAAGCTAATAAGTACTAAGGCAGCATATGCTGATTTCGGTTAAACAAAAAAAAAATGTATGAAATATTATTATAACACGTACCTTGACGTCCTATTCTTTTCCTATGCCGATAAACAACGTCGTCGGATAAAAATTTCCAACACTCTTCCCAAACTTTTTCAGGTCTGTTCATTGAGTTGGCAAATAACAACAGAGCAAACAGACATCTAAGATAAGCAGCAGATCCCCAGGAACTTGCCTACTTAATTGCATCAATGTACTCGTTGTCATCATCCAGAAGTCCTAAAGAATAGCACGCATCCTTAAATGTAGGAAAAACCACGCCATTGATCGTTCTAAGATCTTCATAACTGGTGCAACCTCTTTGAAAATTAAGCAAGGTGCGAAGATATGAATCTTCTCCATTATTGGCAGAAAAACGATTTATCCTTCCAATGGAAAATCCTTTTTTTTCTCGGATTCCATTCATGCGTTTTTTCTTTGAAAACAAATTCAGTCAGGTACTCTCCATAAGTTAGATGCCTACCTTCTGGATATTTTTTATTTGCATCCATCCAAGACTCAAAAATTGACAGTCTAGACTCTGCCCTTGTCTTTACATCATACAACGAATCATTATCACTGAAAATAATGTTCTTTTCATTAGGCAAGTGAAATGGCAATCTCTGAACAGGGGGATATCTCGAATGAATGTCAAATTCAAATATTCTCCAAGCTGCTTCACATGCGGAGACATACCTATCATAACAATGAATATCCCAATTTTTTTTTCAAAAAACGTAAAGATTTGAATTAAACTGAATAAAGGTTAAAAAAAACGATTGATTACATGATCAACATCAATTATTTAAAAAACAAAGATGACGACAAAGAGTGATTTAGTAGTTATAAATCAATGAATAAGCAATCTTGACCATTGATTTAAAGTAACAAATCCTGTCAATTGAAAATATAATTCTTTTTGTATTTATTATATTCACCGATTTACCATTAAAGGAAACTTTTTTAAATGTTTTAGTGTGAACACATTGGTGAAATTGAACCACAGTGCGACACGTCAGCAAGGTTTCCATAGAATGGAATTCCTTTATAATATAAGATTATGTATATGAATATATTAAAAGGTTTTTGGGAGAGGTTATACTTACTACAAGCATCATGATGTGTTTGTTGAATTCATGTAATTATTTTAATTTACATAGTATGGATTTGTTTGTTTGGATATGATGAAATATATGTTATTTAGTTTGAGCATTTTGCTTTTGAAAGTGACTTAAATGTAGATTGTATGAGTTTTTTTGTGATTAATGATTCTGTTTGGACGTTGAAATTATGATTTTTAGTTTAGCAACAAAATTTGAGTATTTTGTAAAGTTGATTCATGGTTCTGTTTGAAACTTAAAAACTAACAGGCTAATGGGCTGGGCCAGACCATTTATTTTTTTATAAACGGGTCAAGTCGGGCTAACAGTTAAACTCGTAATAGGCTTGGGCCAGGCCAAATTAAAATTTTTTGGCGTAGGCTTGGACTTTTCGGGGCAAAGTTTGACCCAGTCCAGCCCACTTCACCCCTACCCACTACCATTATTTCTATGGAGAATATATATGTCAAGTATCAGGACATTAAATTTTTTTCATGAGATTTTAGTGGGTTCTACCATAAAAGAAAAATAAAAAACAAAAAAAAATATTTGCACATTTATCGAGCATAAAATTTGTTAATAAATCATGTTACATGACATATACATTTCCCTATTTCTATTAATTCGAATCATGTAAAAATTATTTTACATATGAAACAATTGCGTCTCTACTAGCCATCACGCCACGGGGGCAGTGATTAACGCATGATCAATCAGAAACACAATATAAAATATGTTTTAAAACATATTGAATTAATAATAAATAATTGATAATATCAATTAATTATACACACCTTATGATTCGTAAACTGGCCATGTATATAAAATTAGTCTGCCTTAGGTTATCGTGAATGTCATCTGGTATGTGACGATGATCGTGGGATGTCGCTCATCTCACGTTTATTATACAATTATCAGCATCGTTCCACACAAGGGTAGGTGATTAAAAAAGAGATGTTCATGAGGGTAAGTGATAACATATTAAACCATGGAGGATTTTTGAACTTTTTTCTTGTAATAATTAAAAAATAAAAAGAAAAAACTTGATGTGGAAAGTATGGAACTAAACAAGTAATCAGGTATACGATCATTGCAAATGAAGGGTGTTCTGTTCAAATATCATTCACATGCGTTACTTTTATGTTTTTCTATCGTTGTATTTGAATGCATCATTATTATACATGTAGATGGTTGCTAAAGAAAATTTTTTATTATCTTAATAGTTTAATTTTTCTATTTTATTTTAATTCCATCTATTTATTTTTTTAATAAATTTAAAACTAATATTTGAAAAAAAAAATAGAAGATTAAAATAATAGAAATAGAGCACCAATAACAAATCTGTCTATTTTTTTTAGAAAAGAACTTTGGCTTTTTGACCCTTTTACCTTTCATTAATTAATTAATAATCATTTTGTCCCTTATTCAAAATTATCTATCAATCTGGCCCTCCTTAATCGATTAACTTGAAGATTTAATCGATTAAATGGTCAAAACTGACAAAAATAGTTGACTTGAAGATTTAATCGTTAAATCTTCAAGTTAATCGATTAAATCTCCCAACACGCAACAAAGGTCAAATCTCCTCCATAAACAAAAGCAGATTCCATGCATATGAAGCAAATCAAAAAGTATAGATAACCAAAAGCAGATTCCGTGCATATGATCCTATTGTCAACCTCAGAACAATGACAGCGATCAAGGCGAACAACGAACCCTTCCCGTCTTGCATATTCATCATAAAAATATTTAGCAGAATCTTCAATTTTTCGTGTATCGGAAGTTATTTGAATTTTAAATTTTGAATTTAATGTAATAAGAGTTGATTGTGATTTATATTTAATAGGACAAACTCGTAAAATGGCAACTCCTAATAAAACGCAATCAGCTCCTATTAAATACAAAACACAATCAACTCCTATTAAATACAAAACGCGATCAGCTCATATTAAATACAAAACGCAATTAGCTCCTATTAAATACAAAACGCAATCAGCTCCTATTAAATACAAAATGCAATCAGCTCCTATTAAATACAAATCGCAATCAACTCATATTACATTAAATTCAAAATTCAAATAACCTCCAATACCGTGTTTGTCTCATTCAATCAATGCTTTCACGCTCATTTGAGATATTTAATTGATTAAATATAAGTTTTAATTGATTAAATCAATTAAGAGGGATATTTAATCGATTAAATTTTCAAATCAATCATTTTTGCCAGTTTTGACCATTTAATCGATTAAATCTTCAAGTTAATCGATTAAAGAGGGGCAGATTGATAGATAATTTTAGATAAGAGACAAAATAATTATTAATTAATTAATGAAGAGCAGTCAAAAAAAATACTTTACACTATATAATCCGAATTTATGTAAATCGCAAGAGTTCCGAATGACGATCATCTCAAATTCAATGCTAATTTTTTTTTCACAACAAGTCATTCAAACTTTTATTTTGAACAGAACATATTTTATTTGCATTGGTCATATACCTCATTAGTTTGTTTGATTCCATATTGTTTGTCACTTCAATTTTTCTTTTTTTTATAAAATTGTTGCAAGGGAAAAGTTCAAAAATCCCCTAGTTTAATATTTTATGACTTATCCCTTTATACTTCTCTTTCTTAATCACTTACCTTCCCTGTGTTTTTTCTACTGTTCAAAAGAGTAAAATGAAAAGATTAGCCTAATATTTAACTGATTTAAGGGTGAACTTGAATAAAAAAAAATACCAAGGGAAATAAGTGATAAAAAAAAAGTACAGGGAGTTAAAGATTTTAGAACAAATCATAGGGAGATTTTTAAAATCTTCCCAAATAAATATTATTTTAATAATTAATATTACCTAAATAACCTTGTTAATTAAATTAATATGCTACATTACGCTACACTATCCTACCCTAACAATAATTAATATGCTACATCACCCTACATTACCTACAATTAATATGCTACACTAGAAAAATTAAGAGTAAATACCTTTTCAGTAAATTTTACAGTCCCTAGCAAATAAAAAAGCTATTCGTGGTCCCTAATAAATTCAAAATGGACCCATTTAATTGAAATCATGGTCCCTCACAAATTCAAAAAAGACTCACATTAGTCCCTCAAAAAGATTAAAATTGATCCATTTTGAATTTTCTAGGGACCACAAATAACATTTTTATTTGTTAGGGACTAAAGTAAAAATCATAAAATTTGCAGAGGAGCAAGCGTATTTACTAAAAAATTAAATAGGGAAGGATTAGAAACTTAACTAGTGTAGAGCTTGAGAGAAAATCATAGAGAGAGGAGAGTATTTTAGACACAAGCTCAAATTTTTTATGTTTCATCTGTACAAGTTGAAAGAAAAATTACGAAGTGAATGGATTTCCTCTGGAAAGTGAGAGAAGTTATGGAAATAAAACGAAAAAGACGCAAACATATTTGTTCACCTTCCTTTATTGTCTTATAACAACCCATAGAAAAGAAGTTAAGAATAAAAAGATGCCAAAATTATAATGTGCCAACTTAAAATTGACGTAAGTAAGACAGCAATGTCATACAAAAGGTGCAAATGCATAGAATTGTTAACAAAAGCATGCTTATCCTTTATATTACAGATCTCTTGCATAAGACAGTAGAGAGTAATGTTTCCATCAACACAAATTCAATGAATAATATAGTTATATACACATAGACTTACTACTTAACAAGATTTCGAATACTCTGATATCAACATTAATGTCTCTGTCTGCAATTGGTGTAGCATAAAGCCTACCCTCAGTGTGTGTCCCCACCAAAGTCACAAGTAGTGTACCCAAAATTTCATCATCAAGTAAGATATTGATTTTAGAAAGAAAAGTTAACAAAATTTTAGACTCTTTTTTCTTATACTTTCTGTATTATTTGATACAATTGTATATTGATTTTATTAAGTCTTATTCTTTATTAGTAGAAATAGTATAAAACTTCATCTAATAATAAAAAAATTACTAACATTTTACTTATAAAAAAATTTATGTTGTGAACCACAGTAAATACAAGAGAGAGAGAGAGAGAGAAGGAGTTCGGTATTGCTCATGCATCAGCTTGTGTATTTTCATTTTGTTGATGTATAATTAAAACGAGGAGAAAATTTTAGATATTTCAGAGTAAACTATTTTGCTTGCTACCGTATATGACTTATGTCAGTATAATCTTCCACTACAATTATATTTTCAATCTTATATTTGTTAAAGTTATTTACATTTAACCCATATTTATCAAGAAGAATCTTACTCTAAATTCACCTAACAATTTCTCTATTTCTCTAGAACTAGAAATTGATAATATGTTTAGTAGTTAGTACTGAGCAGAAATTTCTTATTTGAAAATAGAAAAATATGAAATTTAAATGACATTAATTATAAGTTGGTGAATAAAATATGGGTTTCATTTTTCTGCAGAGGTAACAGAAAGATTTATCAGTCACAGACACATGTTCACGAGAATCTGACATCGGATGCTGATAAATATGTGTCTGTGGTAGACAATATATTTCTACCGCATAATCAAAAATACTTTTTCCATGAAATATATTTAACATTTTTTATCAACTTTAATAAGTGATGTATTACCCCTATAGAGGTGTACTACGCCTATACAACATGCATGCATATGCAGAACTAGCAGGGTGTAGCAAGCAAGCGATCATGCAGCAAATGAAGTACTTGCCAACTCAAATCCACGACTTACCAACTCTTTGTGTTTGAGTTGATGGTTACTTTACTCTGATTACATTTTCAATAACTTGATTGTCCTTCCTTTATGATCACTCTTAACACGCCATTTGTTATAATAATACCCTCCTCCTCATGCTTTCTCCACAACCTTCTCTTCGTTCTTGCTAGTTTTTATGGCCTCATACACCATGTCTACAGCCTTAACCACTGGTTCTCACTCCCGAAATGGACACCGTTTCACCCATTGTGACTCAGATGAGGTATTCTTCTCCTTACTCCTTACTTTGCTGGTTCAAATATAATTGTGCTGTTAACTTAAAATGTTACTTTTATTACTGTCTATAACATTATGAGGCTGTTTTGTGTCTTTTATCTATAGGAAAATGGAGACTACAATCCACAGCAGTGGCAACACACTGGTCAAGTTTTCTCTTTGGCTGGAAGTGGTGAGCATCTTTTTCTATTATAATTGTTGCTAATTATGTTCCTCAAATAATTGTTTTTACTTCTGGGGCTTTGTGATCTTGTGTTAATTTATAAACACTTTTCTGAGTGCATCTGTTTTCTGTAGTTGCTAGTAAGGATTTTGAAGAGCAGAAAGCATTAGACAGCAATGCAGAGAATTGGAAAGAAAAGAGAGGTCTAGTGAGCAATGACCAAGGAGAAGATAACTACATGTAAGTTTGTCTTCTCTTGGATACTCCATTAATGAATTGATAAAACTCATAATCTATGTATATGAGACTGTTTTTCCTTCTTGCATTGTTAACAAAAAAAAGCAAAAGAAATTAAGCTATTGCCACCAAAACTGTGACTAAAACTTCTCCTTGTGTTGGCACCTTGTAGTTTGGCTGAGGCAAGGAAACCATTGTGGCGCAAAGTTCCAATAGCTTCAAGCCTAATCAACCCATATCGCATAGTCATAGTCATGCGCCTTGTTACCCTAGCTTTGTTCTTCCACTTCCGCATCTTAAATCCAGTGAATGATGCATTAGCCTTATGGATAATCTCTGTAGTCTGTGAAATCTGGCTTGCTTTGTCTTGGATAGTTGACCAATTCCCCAAGTGGTTCCCCATTACTCGTGAAACTTACCTAGAACGCTTGTCCTTAAGGTTTGAGCGTGAAGGGGAACCAAACCTTCTAGCCCCAGTTGATGTCTTTGTGAGTACTGCAGACCCTTTGAAGGAACCACCTATTATAACAGCAAACACACTTCTATCAGTCTTGTCTGTTGATTATCCTGCTGAGAAGGTTAGTTGCTATGTCTCAGATGACAGTGCATCTATGCTTCTCTTTGATACCTTGTCAGAAACTGCTCAGTTTGCAAGAATGTGGGTTCCTTTTTGTCACAAGTATAACATTGAGCCAAGGGCCCCTGAGTTTTATTTCTCTCAGAAAGTTGATTACTTGAAAGATAAGGTGCACCCCACATTTGTAAGGGATCGAAGAGCCATGAAGGTGGGGACTACATAGATGAGCCATGAAAGTTGCTTTTGATTATCTTTCCCTTCTTCTTCTTTCGATTTTTTAATTTTGATGTTGTTCTATTGTGCATGTGAGACTCAAGGCATTTTCCTATGAACTTTTGCAGAGAGAGTATGAAGAATTCAAGGTGAAAATTAATGTATTGGTTGCAAAGGCTCAGAAGAAACCAGAAGAGGGGTGGGTGATGCAAGATGGTACTCCATGGCCTGGGAACAACACTGAAGATCATCCAGGAATGATTCAGGTTTGGCAATTGCATTTCAAGTCATTTCTTGCTTGATGTGCATTTCAATTTTGTGTGATTAACATATGCCAACCTTTATTTATTTATGTCCTCTTGGATCTAAGGAAAACTAGGAGAAAAAAATTCAGTCTAAAAAATTGATATCTTTCTCCAAAACCATGGATAATGTCAATGAACTAAGAACTAAAAGATGTATGAACTTGTCGTTGCAGGTGTGTCTGGGAAGTGCTGGTGCACTGGACAATGAAGGCAAGGAACTGCCGCGGCTTGTGTATGTTTCACGGGAAAAACGTCCTAGCCATCAACATCACATGAAAGCTGGTGCCATGAATGCTCTGGTAAGTAGCTTAAACTTCAAGTGCATAGTTTAATTCCAGCTACAAGAACAAGATATTATTAGAAAAGCTGTTTATAACTTTTGAAATGCTGTATTTCCTAAAAAGGTTCGAGTTTCTGCTGTGCTTAGCAATGCACCGTTTGTGTTGAATCTGGATTGTGACCAATACATGAATAATAGCAAGGCTCTTAGGGAGGCTATGTGCTTTTTAATGGACCCCCAATTTGGAAAGAAGCTGTGTTATGTTCAATTTCCACGAAGGTTTGATGGCATCGATTCCAATGATAGATATGCTAATCACAATACTGTATTCTATGATGTAAGGGATATTTTTCTAAACTCAATAAAAATTGCAATTTCATTAACTGGTCTTTAACTTCTGCCTTGAACATTGCTTTGTTCATATCATAGATCAACATGAAATGCTTTGATGGGATTCAAGGTCCGGTATATGTTGGTACTGGATGTGTTTTCAACAGGCATGCATTATATGGCTATGAGCCACCATCTGAGAAAATGCCAAAGATGAACTGTTTCTGCTGGCCTTCATGCTGCTGCTGTTGTTCTAGTGACTCTCAGTCCACATTTGATGATGTTGAAGAGATTCATGAAGGGCTTGAAGGCTTTGAAGAGAAAGAGGAACCATCCTTCATGTCGCTGAAAAATTTTAAGAAAAGATTTGGACAGTCACCAGTTTTCATTGCATCTGCTTTGATGGAAGATGGTGGACTTCCAAAAGGGACCAATACCCGGTTACTGATCAAGGAAGCCATTCATGTTATAAGCTGTGGCTATGAAGAGAAAACCGAATGGGGCAAAGAGGTAATCCAGCTATTATTTTACATAAATTTTTTTAAAAGGGTGGATGAAAAAAAAAATTGTGTTAATGGTGGGACTCCTGTACACATCAAGAATGCATTTTTTTTTATTAGATCATGAGACATTTATTTCCTCTGTGAAAGAAGTTACTTGGAATTTCATGATTGTTAACCAATCAAGTCATCTTGACATTTTTTTTTTTTTTTTGCAGATTGGTTGGCTTTATGGCTCAGTCACAGAAGACATCTTAACTGGGTTTAACATGCATTGCAGAGGATGGAAATCAGTGTACTGCATGCCAAAGAGAGCAGCTTTTAAAGGATCTGCTCCTATAAATCTATCAGACCGATTACACCAAGTTCTGAAATGGGCTATGGGTTCTACTGAGATTTTCCTTAGTGGCTATTGCCCATTATGGTATGGCTATAGTGGAAAACTGAAATGGCTACAGAGGCTGGCTTACACTAATATGATTGTTTATCCATTCACTTCCATCCCTCTGCTGATATACTGTACAATTCCAGCTATCTGTCTTCTGACTGGAAAGTCCATCATCCCCATTGTAGGTGCATAATAATAAATTTATTACATTCGATTAACTTGAGTACAATATGACTTTAAAAATGTAAGGGTAGCTATATGAAAGATAAGCCTAATGACTTTTATATATGAATTATTGTATTTTGGCTAGTGAGAACAACTAGGGGGTTGGAGTAGGTTTATATTTTGTGGGAAATTTGACCAAAAACCAATGGTAGTTTCTTTTAAAAGAAGAAAAAAGAAGGGGAAAATGTTATATTGATATTAGATTCATATCTTCTGACCAAAGTTCTTCTCTTTTTGCAGCTGACAAACTTTGCTGGCATTTGGTTAATGACTCTATTTATGTCCATCATTTTAACTTGTGTGTTAGAGCTTCGTTGGAGTGGGGTTAGCATTCAGGACTGGTGGCGCAATGAGCAATTCTGGGTCATTGGTGGTGTATCTGCACACCTTTTTGCTGTATTTCAAGGTCTCCTAAAAGTTGCTGGAATAGACACTAATTTTACCGTGAGAGCAAAATCAGCAGATGACACTGTTTTTGGACAGCTCTATGTCTTCAAGTGGACTACTCTTCTCATCCCACCAACAAGCCTTGTAATCTTGAATATGGTGGGAATTGTGGCTGGAATCTCTGATGCCGTTTACAATGGCTATGACTCATGGGGCCCTTTATTTGGGAAGCTTTTTTTCTCTTTCTGGGTCATTGTGCACTTATATCCTTTCCTCAAAGGTCTAATGGGAAGGGGAAACAGAACCCCTACCATAGTTGTCCTCTGGTCAATACTTCTAGCATTAATTTTCTCAATGATTTGGGTGCGAATTGATATTTTCTTACCAAAGCAAACTGGTCCAGTACTCAAACAATGTGGGTTAGAATGCTAAGGTGGTGAAGACAAGTGGGGGTAGCATTGTTCCCATTTCATTTGATCCGGGTTCTTTTATTGGAGTATTTACCATTATAAAGTGAACAGTCTACATAGCCTAAAAGGAACACTAGATGTGTTACCCGTGCATGCACAGGTTGTATGTATCTTTGATGGATGGATTTATTTATTGTGCAAGATTTCTTTATAAAGATTTGACATGGACTCTTGTTATCATTGAAAGACAAAAGGTAAAACATGTTTGTTGTATGAAAAGATTTGCAATTGATACTGCCAATAAATAGTTGTGTACTTGTTTGTTGTATGAAAATTATTGAGTCTGTGAATGAAGATGAATTAATTATCAGAGGTTAAAAGTAAAAACATATAATTGCTATCAGCTTCACTTGAAATTACCTCAGGCTATTCAAGGGACTCATCATAGATTGAATTTTAAAGCCAAATACAAATTACAAAAGAAAAGTAAACCTCACACTCTGTCATGTCCATAAAAGAATTGAAACAATGCATTCCCAACACAATACACTCCCCTCCCCAATACCAAACCATTGCAAGCTTGACTAAAATACACGAGGAACATAAGTAGAAGTAGCTTCTGCAGCACCTCTTTTCAAAGCTTTCTCTAACCTCGTCTCAAATGGGGTTGCGTGCCAGTTCACTCTCTTATCCTGCACAACCAGTTAAATCCAATATCAGAATTTACCCTCAAACAACTGATTTATAATTTCTCTTAAAAAGTTCACTTCATATTTACCTCTCTGTACTTGCTCGTTGTGTTTGGAATTCCTTTAAAGGAAGAGACTGAGCCAGAATCCTCAGCAGAACCTGTAAAATTCCAGTAGGTACCAACAGTGCCTATAATAGGCATCTCATCTGGACTCCTACTAGGTGACTTCCTTGGTGAAGAAGTAGCTGAAAATTGCTTGAGCTCTTCCACTGTTAATGCACCTAAAATAGGTCTATCTTCGTGGCTTATCACAGAATGTGAACCTTGTGAGGTGCTCCTGTCAGGGGTACCAGCATAGGAAGCTACTGAGCCAGCCTTGTTAACAGGTTTAGTTTCTGGTGAAACCAACCAATTTGAGAGGCTTGCATCTACTGGGATTTCCTGCTTCAACTTCTTTGATGTGTCATTTTCTGAATTCAAGCTGAAAGATAGTTCCTTGACACCAAGGCAATTCTCTTTCTGAGGACTCAATGTTGGCGTTCTTTTAGCCTTAACAATTTTCCACTGAGTGAGGTTTTCTACTGGGTTCAGCACAGGATGAACATAAACACTTCTGTCTCTAGCATTGGGGTTGAACCCAATTGACTTCAGATCACTCTCACAAGTTGGGATTGGACACTCCACCTCCTCAGCAAACACATGAACAGAACCAGTTCTTGACCTTTCATCTCCTACAAAGTCCTCACCCAATTCATTATATTCCTCTCTGATCTCATCATCCTCATCACTAAGATCACTAGCCCCATAATCAATTTCATCATCATCACTGTCCAGGCAATTCTGGTACCTATGGTTTGGAGGGTAAGACCCAGTTGAAGTCACTGAACTATCTTCAGAAGAAGAAGACTTTGATTGGCTTGGTTTTGCCAAAGCTTCCTCCTTTCCACCTTCTTCACTCTTCCTCTCTGATGGGAAATCAGCAACCTCATCCTCCAAAACAGGCTCATAGGTTTTCACATTGGAATCAAAAGTTACTTTCTTTCTGGTACTGACACTTAGTTGCTCCTCAGTTTTATCCCTACATCAAACAAAAAGCACAAAAAAAAAAAAAAAAAATCTGATCAAAAACTTCCAAAAATATAAGGGAATCAATGAAGTTGAAAGTATCAAGAATAGGGATTGCTTACTGAAGTTCCGATGCAATGCTAAGAACGGTTTTGGAGTTATCCTGAACCAAAGAGACACTAGCTTGCACTGGCTTGCTACAAGCATTTCTCTGCAACAAGATTAATTTAGACAAAATTACAAAAAGACAAAAAGAAAAAAGAAATAACTTAGCTCTATTTGGCTGCTTAGAAAAACATAAGAGGCAAGAAAAGAGAATAATGGCATTAAAAAAAACAAATTTTTATCTAAAACAGGAAAGAAAAGAAACCAAAAGAGAAAATCTTGGTGTTCTTGGAGTTGTTTTTCACAAAAAAAAAAAGATGGCAGAATTGAAGAGTCTTAATTGAACCTTGCGATTGTGTTTTGTGCGTTTGGAGGAACCAAAACAAGCAAGAAAGCAACCCATTAAAGGAGGGACTTCAGAGGAAGAAAGTTTGAGTAATGGGTATGTTGGTGATGGATGGTGGTGATATCAAATACATGAGGAAGTGAGAGAGATAGAGAAAGATGATGAAGAAGAAGAAGAGCGTGTGTTTAAGGTTGGTTTCTGGGTAGGGACAAAAACGGTCAACAAACCTGAAAGCCTCTCTCTCTTTTTTTTGCAAATTATTATTTTATTTGAAAAAGTGGGAACATGACCGTTATAAACATGATGACTATGATTTACACCCTGTAAATTGCAGTTCCATTCTTTCTTTCTTTTTTTAATTAATAATATCTCTAACATATCTGAAGAGATTTATTTATTGATTGCATGAAACGGGCACGACCATTTGGCCTAGGGAGTGGCATCAGTTTTTCCAAATGAATTTAACTTTGTGTTAAATGCTAATTATTTACTTAAAAAAACTTACGATCGTCTTCCAATTTACTAAGAGTTTCGAATAAATTTGGATGTCCTTCCTTAAATATAAGATATGGAGAGATTGTATAAGGGGATTTGAAGATATATATATTTACTGTATCCAAAAAAAATAAAAAATAAAAAGATATATCTTTTTTTTTTCGATTTCATGATTATTGGGCTTTGAATATAATTATTATTTTTTCAATTTCATGATTATTCTTGGATTATTTTTCTCTCACATTAAAAGGGTTTTATTATTTGGGATTGGGACTTATTTTAAATTATTGTATCTCTATGCACATATTATCATTTGTGCTCAGTAGTGATATAATAACTCTATTTCGAGAGAAAGAAATATACTGGAACCTTGAAATTCCATTTGTAAAAATAATCTGATGGTATCATTGTGTGATTGAAAGAATATCTCCTTCTTAAAATAAGATGATACGGGAATACCCTAAAAATAAAAAATAAAAATTACCGGTTATAATGTTCTTTTATTACATGCATTTGAAGATAATCTTACTTTTATGATTATATTTATTTCATTTTACAAGAGAAAAATAATTTTTTGTATACACTCAAAAAAAAGGTGGGTTCCACCATTCAATTTTTCTATACACACAAAAAAAAGAGGTGGGTTCCACCTTTATTTTTTTCTCTATCCTCTTACCTATTAATTTCACTTGTAATTTTATTTCTACAATAAGAGATAGCTATTTTTCAACAACATAAAAAAAGTATTTTCAGTAAAATATTGGCAAAAAAATTTAATTATTACATTTTAATTAAATAATTACGTATTTATTGCAGTTTTGAAAATAATTACGGATCTAAAAACAAAAAAATTTAATTATTGTATTTTAATTAAATAATTACGCATTTATTGCAATTTTAAAAATAATTACGGATCTATTGCATAATGTGACGCATTTTTTGAGCGTCACATGTGACGCCTCATTTAGGCGTCTCTCACCTGAGGAAAGACGCCCCAATAGGACGTCTCTCACCTAAGGTTGACACGTGTCATTTTTTTCCAAAAAAAATAATAATTTAATCATAAAACTTTTGAAGGCCGTAACTTTTAACTCGAGTATCCAATTCAGGTAATTCTTTTTTTGATTCCACATAACTTTTTGAGATCTACACAATGACATCTCATTTGATATATTTTATTTCTCACAAACAATTTTAATTTGCAAGAATAGTATTAAAAGAGCGGTTAAACCAAGAAGCGTCTGAGTTCTGGGTTTGTGATTTAATATAAATAAATAAATAAAAATTTTGTGATTTAATTTTTTGTTATAATACTTTTTTTTATTATAACAAAAATTTGGTTTATGATTTAAATTAAAAATAAAAATAAAAATTATTATTAATAAGGAAAACAAAATAAAGATTTGATTTGTGATTTAAACTAAAAAATCAATTTGAAAAATATGTAGAAATAAAGAAAATAATTAAATAAATATTCTAAATCACTAAGGAAGAAGGATATTATTTTTGAAATTAATGATTAATGCTATAAGCTTCTGGGTTATTATTCGTGGTCTGAAATTAATGATGGCTTATGAATGTTTTTTAAAAATAAAATTACCTAAATTAGACGTGATTGCCTCTTGATTGAAACTCAATTTAGACGTGATTGGTGACGTGTCAGGTGTTAACACGTGTCATATTTTGAGTTCTGCCCTTTTGTGAAGATAGGCATTAAAAAATAAACCCGATTTATAATTTCTCTTAAAAAGTTCACTTCATATTTACCTCTCTGTACTTGCTCGTTGTGTTTGGAATTCCTTTAAAGGAAGAGACTGAGCCAGAATCCTCAGCAGAACCTGTAAAATTCCAGTAGGTACCAACAGTGCCTATAATAGGCATCTCATCTGGACTCCTACTAGGTGACTTCCTTGGCGAAGAAGTAGCTGAAAATTGCTTGAGCTCTTCCACTGTTAATGCACCTAAAATAGGTCTATCTTCATGGCTTATCACAGAATGTGAACCTTGTGAGGTGCTCCTGTCAGGGGTACCAGCATAGGAAGCTACTGAGCCAGCCTTGTTAACAGGTTTAGTTTCTGGTGAAACCAACCAATTTGAGAGGCTTGCATCAACTGGGATTTCCTGCTTCAACTTCTTTGATGTGTCATTTTCTGAATTCAAGCTGAAAGATAGTTCCTTGACACCAAGGCAATTCTCTTTCTGAGGACTCAATGTTGGCGTTCTTTTAGCCTTAACAACTTTCCACTGAGCGAGGTTTTCTACTGGGTTCAGCACAGGATGAACATAAACACTTCTGTCTCTAGCATTGGGGTTGAACCTAATTGACTTCACATCACTCTCACAAGTTGGGATTGGACACTCCACCTCCTCAGCAAACACATGAACAAAACCAGTTCCAAAGTCCTCACCCAATTCATTATATTCCTCTCTGATCTCATCATCCTCATCACTAAGATCACTAGCCCCATAATCAATTTCATCATCATCACTGTCCAGGCAATTCTGGTACCTATGGTTTGGAGGGTAAGACCCAGTTGAAGTCACTGAACTGTCTTCAGAAGAAGAAGACTTTGATTGGCTTGGTTTTGCCAAAGCTTCCTCCTTTCCACCTTCTTCACTCTTCCTCTCTGTTGGGAAATCAGCAACTTCATCCTCCAAAACAGGCTCATAGGTTTTCACATTGGAATCAAAAGTTACTTTCTTTCTGGTACTGACACTTAGTTGCTCCTCAGTTTTATCCCTACATCAAACAAAAAGCACAAAAAAAAAAAAAATCTGATCAAAAACTTCCGAAAATAGAAGGGAATCAATGAAGTTGAAAGTATCAAGAATAGGGATTGCTTACTGAAGTTCCGATGCAATGCTAAGAACGGTTTTGGAGTTATCCTGAACCAAAGAGACACTAGCTTGCACTGGCTTGCTACAAGCATTTCTCTGCAACAAGATTAATTTAGACAAAATTACAAAAAGACAAAAAGAAAAAAGAAATAACTTAGCTCTATTTGGCTGCTTAGAAAAACATAGAGGCAAGAAAAGAGAACGATGGCATTAAAAAAAAAAAAAAACAAATTTTTATCAAAAACAGGAAAGAAAAGAAACCAAAAGAGAAAATCTTGGTGTTCTTGGAGTTGTTTTTCACAAAAAAAAAAAAAAAAGATGGCAGAATTGAAGAGTCTTAATTGAACCTTGCGATTGTGTTTTGTGCGTTTGGAGGAACCAAAACAAGCAAGAAAGCAACCCATTAAAGGAGGGACTTCAGAGGAAGAAGGTTTGAGTAATGGGTATGTTGGTGATGGATGGTGGTGATATTAAGGTTGGTTTCTGGTTAGGGACAAAAACGGTCACAAACCTGAAAGCCTCTCTCTCTTTTTTTGCAAATTATTTTATTTGAAAAAGTGGGAACATGACAGTTATAAACATGATGACTATGATTTATACCCTGTAAATTGCAGTTCCATTCTTTCTTTCTTTTTTTAATTAATAATATCTCTAACATATCTTTTTTTTTTTTGTATATATATCTCTAACATATCTGAAGAGGAATTTATTATTTATTTATTTGTTGCTTGAAACGGGCACGACCATTTGACCTAGGGAGTGGCATCAGATTTTCCAAATCAATTTAACTTTGTGTTAAATGCTAATTATTTACTTAAAAAACTTACGATCGTCTTCCAATTTACTAAGAGTTTCGAATAAATTTGAATGTCCTTCCTTAAATATAAGATATGGAGAGATTGTATAAGGGGATTTGAAGATATATATATATATATATATATATATATTTATTGTATCCAAAAAAAAATAAAAAATAAAAAGATATATCTTTTTTTATTCGATTTCATGATTATTAGGCTTTGAATATAGTTACTTTTTTTTCAATTTCATGATTATTCTTGGATTATTTTTCTCTCACATTAAAAGGGTTTTATTATTTGGGATTGGGAAGTGACTCGAGAAGCCATCTCGAGCATAGCATATGACTTATTTTAAATTATTGTATCTCTTTTTTTTGAAAATAATAGGAAATTAAAACAAAAACACAACAAAAAGAAACTAGCCACAAAGCCTAGACCAGTGAACACCTATAGTGTCACCATACAGACTATCAATACAACCTGACGGTGGACAATCAAATTCCTGGATTACCCAAGAGAAACCATAAGAGTAAGAGGCTAGAAAGTCCGCTACTCTATTTCCTTCACGGTGAATGTGAGACATATAAATCTGCCAATCTCGCTGCATCAAATTTCGAATACGATTCACCAAATTAGCCGCAGGGTAATCATGGTGGCACCCATTTGTAATGAGCTGTTGAGCTGAAAGAGAATCTCCTTCGAGCCAAACTTGCCTAAAACCTCTATCCCAAGCTAGCTCCAAACCAACCAAGCAAGCCCATAACTCAGCATGCAAAACTGTACCTGAGCCTAAATTTTTACAGAATCCGACGATCCAAGTTCCTGAGGCATCGCGAAAAACTCCTCCACACCCAGTCCTAGTACCATTAGCATCACATGCACCATCAACATTAAGCTTAACCCAATCCACAGGAGGACAACACC